TATTAATTACAAATTTATTCTCAATATTTGATCAAATCCTTATTATTATGTGAAAAGGCTGAAGAACTTCCTTCGAAAGTATAAATAATCATGTTTCTTCATCTTCTGTACAAGTACCTACACTCCAATAATAGTTATTAAACATAAAGAATTATTGTTAAAACACTTATTGTTATAGATATTTAAATAATTCAAATTTCAACTTTAAAAAGTGTTCCCAAACTTTTGGCTTGGAATTATATATCACAAAAAATGTTTCAATTTTTATATTATTTATAAATATTTTAAAAAATATGCGAAAAAGACGGAAATACCAACTTCGCCGATTGTTGCAACCAATCTCATCCTCGCCACGAGGACAATCGCGATTGCCGTCGCATAGTCCGGATCTTGATATACAGACGTTACTGTCGTTACATCTGAATGCTTGCGTCGGGCAACGAAGACCGGTACACTCTTCATCAGAACCGTCTGCGCAATCGGTGCGGCCATCGCAGACGAAGAACCAGCTGATACAGCTTCCGGATGACCGGCACTGAAACGTGCCCGGTGCACAGCCAGTCCGCCGCGCGTTGCAACTGCTGTTCGTCGAAAAACTGCAATCGCATACGCCGCCGATGCATCGTGACATTTGATCAGCCATACGGCATTCCAAATCGGCAACGCACGGCAGCCCCAAGCTGATTGCCGTCATTATCGTACTCTCATGACGGTCTGTCTTTATTGGCGCTGAAAGACAGAAAAAGTCAGATTGAATTATGGTAACAAGCGAGAATCAAGATTGCGACACTTTAATCCACCAATTTTGAACGCTTTAAATACGGCTAGTGTGATTTTTGTTTAATTTTTCGCTCACTGAGAAAAAAGATTTTGTTAATTTAACGAACAATCAGTAGTTGCCACAAATAATTTGTAGATATAGTGACAACGAATGTCGGCACTAAAAACGAATACAAGATTCTTCTGTCATGGAGACTGATGCTAGTCTGCTATTCCATAACAGAAGCAACCATGTTCCGGCTGATATTGAAAACCAATATGATAAAAATTGATTGTCGAAATTATCGAATATCCATCGTGTATGTACATCTCGAGATTCAAAACTGGCGCGGCGCAGCCGACGAGATCAGCGCAGCCCCGCGAGCACCAATCAATTAGTTCCACGAAAGGCCAAGCCGCGAATCATGGGACGCAAAGTAGCGACCGCCATGAACGTCCGTAAAACAAAACTCGGTTTTGTACCGTTCTAGAAAAATAATGCAAACGGATCCTCCGGTCACCGTCAAGTTTCTAGAACGCTCTAAACCTCCGTAATATAAAACTGGGGATCTAGACGAGTCATTGTTGTGTGTGAGAAAATCGTCGCCGCGAGAGGTGTGCCGTTGTGCTCTGCGCTCTCCCAAGTAGCACAACAGCGCTTATAAAGCGCTAAAAAAGCGATTATATGCGCTTTTATAGCGCTTTGTTAACGCTTTGTAAACGCTGTGTACTACTTAAGCTGTCGATCTAAACTTTCTGAAATTGTTCAAAACTAGTGTTAACAAGTTTTTCTTTTTTTGTAATAAATTATAGTGATTGTCCTCCTGTTACTCGTATATTGCTGGACTTATATTTCTTTTTTGTTAAAAATCGTAATCGTTGAAATCTCCTTTCTGCCTTCGTTCGAAACAGCTGAATAGATTTTTATTTGCTAGCAATACTGATTATTTGCAAAAGGTACAAACAACGATTTAGCAAACATGATTTGTAGCGTATAAATCGTGTATTATTTGTTACACAGACGAATAATGAGAAACAATTCGTAATAATAACTTATCAATTCGTTTTCTTATCAAATCATCACATTTGTTATCACTTTTTGTTCTAATAACAAACTCATCTCTCTCAGTGTTTTATTACTAAAAAATATTTTTTTTAATATAAGAATATTGAGTTTCTCGCTTACCAGAAGTTGTCGAGGTCGTCGTAACATAAGCGATTTCGGTAACTTCCGCATCGATAATGACAGTATCATCATCATCATCCGGACGCTCGTTTGGTCCGGGACGATTGTTGGATCCAGGTCTTAAATTCGATGACGGTCTTGTCACCAAATTTACCGGTATTAATTGACTAGGAGGTTCCGTCGATAGAAGCATCGATGCGTTCTTTAACCAAGATATCTGAACGCCTATCCAAAAAAAAAAAAAGAAAATATTTAAAATGTTCGTTTATAATCATAGCTAATAATATCAGCTAATAATCACATTCATTATCCATTACGTATTAAAAAACCTGTGAAAGTGATAATGGAGAGTAATAAGATTTCGCATGTGATAATCGCTTGTGATTCAGTATACGTAAAGGATTTCTTTTTACGTGTTCGTAAAAAACTGCGTTTTATAAATGATCGTGCTAATTAAGAGTACGAATGCCTCATTTCGTTAATCTGTTCGAGGCCGGAATACAACACCGTTCGGTCTCGCGAATTCCCGTTGCATCCGTATACACACGGAAAAGCTGATTATCGGATAAAAGGCGCGTGAAACTTAGAGAAGCGATGATGCAGCCTGATACAATTCCTGTACGACGTATGCGTCCACGGATTATTCCATGGGAATGTTAAATGACTAGTGTTAAATGAAGGTATCACGTGTTAACTCGTTACAAATTCACACATTCAATGAAGTACAAAGTTTAGAATACAGTCCCAATTATATGATAATCTCAAAACTCTATTTTTGTATAAGAAAATACAAGTTTTTTACTACATTACATTATATGAAGATTAAATATATATAATTAATGAAACTGTATAATTAATTTTTGTTTTCAATAGAACGACTCCTAGTGAAAAAATAGATATGAAATAAATGCAATTAACCAAGTATTTCATTACTGAAAAAGGATCTCAAAAAAACTTATTTGTAAAAAATCTATTGATTCTAAAACAGTTAATGATAATTTCAAAACTCTATTTTTGTATAAGAAAATACAAGTTTTTTACTACATTACATTATATGAAGATAAAATATATATAATTAATGAACTGTATAATTAATTTTTGTTTACAATAGAACGATTTCTAGTGAAAAAATAGATATGAAATAAATGTAACTATATAAATAGATATGAAAGAAATTAACATAAGACGGACTGACAGTGATTAGAATGAATTGGATGGAAAACATTTTCTCGCGTACACACTCTTTTTACGTGATCATTAATTTTGACATATTAATATTTATTTGACTCACATATGAAAAAATTATTTACGATACAAAAGTGCAGTATTAATTTTCACGTATGTATCTCTTACTTCATGCATCTTTTATATAGAAGAACTATAATAACATTAATTATAAATTTTATAACGTAACGGTCCTAAATGATATCCGTTATCATATGATGACTCAGTCCAGACTTTAAATTAGGCATACCTGTATCTTGTTCTCCTTCGCTTTTTTGTCCTTCGGTGATAATTTCCTTATTGCGTTCGATCTCAGTGACGTCCTCTACTATCGGCTCCTGAGTAGGAGGCAGATGCTCCGGAAACGGTGCAGGTCTCACGAGACTATCAAGTCGACATACGTCACCTTCGCGACGCATCGGAGCGGTACATTGGCAGCGACCGAATAAATCCGGAATGAGAAAATCGCAATGAGATTCGGGATCCCAGAGACGGCAATGAGCGTGCTCGTAACATACCTCACCGAGTTTAGCCGCTGCAAATTAGATTTGTTTCTAAATTTAAGAACTTGCGTACATTGCGACTCAATCTAGTTTGAAGATACAATTATTGTTACATCTACAGAAATAAAACTTTTTGCCTATTAACAGATCCAGAGCAAACTATGCGTGTAATCTTTAATAATATAATATCCATCACAATCGGGGACGATGGAGAGTCCATAGGCACACCAAAAGTCTGCTTATAAAATTTTTTTTATAGTTATTTCATAATCTTTTCTTTTTAAAGCACACCGATATTAGAAGCATTATTCATACATACGTCTTATTCATACATACTTTATACTTGAATATTTTTGAGAAAATATTGCATAATTGTATTTCAAATATAAAATTTCTGTCAATAAATAAACGCGTATTATTGTTTCTTCTATATAAGACGATTCTATTCGCGACGGTATCTTCGATATTCTGTTATACTTTTATGACGACAATAAATAGCTGAGATCGTTAGTGCAAGAAGTCGTGGTGATCCCGGCATTGAAAATGGCGCAGTAAGCGTCTGTCAGCGATCGAAACTCTCGATAAATCAAGAGAAAACGAAAGAGAGTACACGGATCTCCAGAATGCATTTCCAAGGTATGCTAACTTAATGTGCGTATCGCGTTCGGTGAGCCGAGAAGAAGCTCACATAAATTAGAATTTTCTGCGCAGGATACTCGCGTAGTTATACGCTTTGCTTGGCTATTCATCCTTTCCATCATCGATCTTTCCCTGATGTGTGTTGTTCGACGTCGCTAATGATCGCCTTAATGTCACGTGAGAGCTACCAACGGTAAAGTCAAGGAACACGAACAGGTTACTTATTTATATATACGGTGCTTATAGATGCATTAGCGTGTATTAATATACCGATTAAGTAGGTTTGTTCTTCTTAACCGAACTTCTTGCACAGTTCATCTTTTCTCTTCTTCTCTTCAGCGTGGAGAGCTTACTTCAATTCTGCATTTTACAGCTTGAATTCAGATATGGACTTCAAGTATTTTAATTCAATAAGATTTTCGTTTTCGTTGACCAGGAAATACGGTAGTGTCCCGGTGTTAATGTCAAGTCTTTTATACAAATGATATATGTATATCACTTGAGTTGAATAAAGTAATGCAATTTCGTATAATGCAATATAATTATTTTTTAAAAAATAATTGAAGCTACTATCATTTGAATTGGAATAGAAAGATCTTCCAATAGAAATACAAAAGATATGTACTTAGGTTTTTATTGATTTACATAATTTTGCAACACGTAATCTAACATTCTTTATTAAGGTACGTCAATCAAAATGTACTTACGTCCTAGACAAGTATGTCTGCGAAATTGTAAGTGTCCCTCCTCGCATCTGCATACACTCTCGAGACAGCTGCTGTTCGCCACTTTTAAAGAGCATTGTTCCTTCACGAGACAATCGTTACCCAGTAGAGTTGCTACAACATTACAAGCAACAAATCTTACACTATGAAACAGCGCCTTCTTTTTTAAAATAACAACAAAACATTTCTAACATAAGCATTTTTTAACTTCTTCTGTGATACCCCCCATATCTATATTCTGGGCAAAGTCTTCGAAATTTTTATACTGTAAAGCGAACGTTTAAGAACATTGATTTCGGCCAACAGATGGATAGAAGAGAACTAACTGTAGTTGGAGGAGATAAAAGAGTACTTGGACGAACTTACATTCGAGACAATGGGTTCCATTGTAGCCAGCGAAGAAAGGCTGACACCGGCAATAACCCAAGTGACAATGGCTATTAGCGATGCCGATCTCACACTCCCGATCTTGGTTGCAGTCGTCACCGAGCTTCACGCTCGTCGAAGTGGGTGAGGATGAGGCCAATCTCTATAAGAAAGTTGAAGATGATATCTGCTCTCCCTTTTAGTGACCCAGTTTTACAGAAGCTAGACAAGAACTTTTTTTAGACTTTAATCGAAGACTTGCAAATGAGCTAAATTTTTTACACTCTATATGCCTATGTATTAATTAAATGCCTATTAAAATTCTAGAAGAAAAAAGAAAATTTTAGTATATTAATAATAATTATGAATAATTAATAAATTCAATATTTAGAATATAAATTATATTAATATTTTAAATTTAATATCTAATAAATTTTATTCAGTTTGTTATTAAAAACTTTAACTTAAAATTTTTAATCTTCAATTACTTTTCATATTAAAAAAAGAAGGAATAAATTTAAGTTTCTTCATTACATCATTACATCCTTTCCTTCATTACATCAAAATTGATGATTTAATTGCACATGTCGATTTCGTTGTAGATTATACTTATTATCTCTTTTTTGTCGCTTGTATTTAGTTCTATAAAGTTTGCGTTTGGATATTATTTATATATACCAGATATTACAATATTTATACATAAAATAATAAGAAACAATATAGAATATGTTCTTATAACAATTTTTCATCATTTTCAGTCCATTTTTAAATTAACCGCGCAAACGGCTGAAGTGGTGAAAAGCTTGACACCAGTTATTAGATTCTAAAATAAAAAATAGGGTGTTTCATTTTAAAAAATCAATTTGACCTGATCTTGATGACGCCACCCAAGGTTAAACTGATAAAATTAATAAATAGATCATTTTAAACCTTATAGAATTTTCGTATGAAGTATTTTTCTTGAAAATGCTTACATTTCAAGATATTTAAGGGATCCAGTACACCATTTATATACATATATATATAGTTTTTAAAAATAAAGTTTCGTAATATATTTTTTTTCTTGTTTCTCATATCTTTCATAGAAATACGGAAATTCGTCGACTGTGACCGCGAGAAACACTGAGCATCGGTTAAGTCGACAATTCATCCCATTGTTAGTACTCACGGTGGAAGTGGAAATGAAAATAGAATCGCGCGTATACTCGCAGCAGATTCACGACTGCACGATTTAAGCACCGCAAGGTGACACGGCATCCGTTGCACGCGTATACACCGTTAGCGTACCGTGCGCCTCAAGTTAGATGACGTACGCAATATTATTCGAAAGAAAATCGGCAAATCTTACCGACGAGTAATGCTTGAACATATAATCGTAAGATTTTATTGCAATTCCCGTCGTGCCTAACGTAACCGTGCCACTAAGGATTAACGACCCCAATACACCGATTGCTATATAAAAGAATTGGACATTGCCGCTCTATCCTGCAGATATATATAAAGTAAGGAGTTCTTCAAAAATTTTTTTAGAAACAATTATATAAGCATATAGTTTTAAGATACAACGAATTTTTGGAGACACAGACTTGATTATTTTTAATCTTCCTATTTAAAAAACGTACAATGCGTAGATACCGTAAACCCGAAAACATTTCCAATTTATCGACCGATTTGTTGTCCATTTACGGGATAATTTTTGCGTTGTATTATGCGCGACAAGCGGTTTTCAATTACGTACGCATCTCACGTGTAAGTCGAAGAGACAAAATTGTCGTGCATCCTGAATCATATATGAGCCGTCGTCTTACATTTAACGATAATCCGTAAACGTGTCACTCGAGCGGAACGACAGATTCATCGAGCGGATAAGATCATCTGTTGATGAATAATTAATGAACGTGCTTTCCTGAATGGACGCGTTTATTTCTACGTCGATGACATTCGCCATCTTCTTGAGAAAAATCGAAATAGAGTCATATCTGCGTTCGCCAAGCGTCATGCTTGGTCATTGCGAAGCATGAGAGCTCATTATTTATCAATCCATTCTGCTATCTGTTGCTTTCCTTACAAAACACGCGATTGCAAAGCGTGTACACTTCATCTCCGAACAATTAACAACTACATGTATAAGGGCACACGCGAATGTAATCACTCATATGTGGGATCAAAGAAATTAATCCATGCCTTCAAGAGAAAGAGACAGTTAATCGGCCGTTGCACGCAACGCCGCGTGTATGTGGAAATGCAGAGTACGAGTTTAGCGTGCGTAGCGCTGCACTCAAGGGTGGCAAGATGAAATTTTATATTCAACGCAAGCGCCTCCAGCTGGCTCTTAATTACGCTTAACGAACCGAGCCAATTTAAACGCAGAATAGAGCAACTACAGTCGTTCCGAGGAGGAGCACGTCGAAGACGATCGCGATCTGTAGAGTCGGTTCCCACGCGGAAATTCCATTCGCGCTTCAGCTACGACCCCGAAGGATGGAGGAACGCATAAACCTTCGGAGAATAATCTAAAAATTTTATTTTAAGAGGAATAATCTAAAAAGTTGACGTGTAAAAAGGATATTTGAAATATACTTAAAATCGCAATTGCATTTATTATGTATTGTCGTTAAAAGTTACAGAATCGAGATATAGATATCATTTTATCCTCGTTCACCTATTGTTTAACAAAAATAACATAATGAGAGGCATTTGGGTGAGAATCTGAACATAGTTCTGGGAGGGGATTTTTTCCTTGTTAAAGAAAAAACTTGTGGAATGATGACAATAGTGTAACACGTACAAATTTCGCAATAATGAGTAGTGATTTCGAGGTTTAATGGTTTATATTTGCATAAAATTTGAAACAGCCGCGGACGATTTCCTTTATTGGATCGAATTAAAGTTTCAGATTTTTTTTAGTGATTTGGAATTGTTTAAGATGATGCCAACGACTAACAAAATTACGATTATAATATAATTATTAACTTGAATTATTTAATTTGAATGCAAAATATCATTTTATTAATAAAAATATGAAATTCATGTTTTATACTAATTTTGCCTTTAAACATACTATATACTAACACTTTTTTAGGCCATGGATCAATCTTTCGGATCGAAATAATTCGACGTAATTATTGTTGCGGCATAATTACGTGGCGCTCTTAATGCAGCCGTAAATTTTGTCGCAGCTGCAACGAGACTGAACGAGACACGCGATCAAGAGATATGTGCGTCCTGAATGGTAGGATTTACGAGTACGTGTCGTCGCTGTCACGCCAACAATTTCACGGTTGGCAACATACGAAATACGTTTCAAAGCCCGCACACGATAACGTTATTTTGAATAATATAAACACAATGATCATGATCTTTGCGCGGAATCGGAGTCGAACGACTTTGGAAACGCACACTACACACGTGCTCTTTTAATTTATACAGGATATATACCAGTTATTTCCATGTTTATATCGTCTATAGACGTTATCAATCGCAGATGAATCTTTCGCTGCAAAAACTAATAAATATTTATTACCTTATCAACAGCTTGTCTTTATTTCAATTAATATTGCCTTGGTCATAAACACCCTCAATTTATTGTATTTTCTTGGAAAAGGTAATAAAATTTAAAGGAAAAACTAACAAAATTGTTATTGTTATAAAAGTAAATATTATTTTTCAATAAAACTGTTTTTAATTTATTTTTCGTTAGATATATATATAGAATATTTACGTATATCTTTGAAATTTAACTTCTAAATATTAAATATTTCTCGATTAAGTTTATATAATATTCGAAATTTAAATAACATTCTCAAGACTGACCATCCAAATCGTTTTATTGCGCGGCAACAAGAAATTACAGTTTACGGTCATATATAAAAAATTCGTCGAATCGCATAAAGATAATACGGCCGATCTCGCGCTACATATCGCTGCGCGTACTCTTAGCGCGAGACACTATCGTGTTTCCTGAAAATCTTCAAAAATCATTTCTTCTTAAAACGAATAGTACGGTGTGTCATTAAGCAACTAACTAGGTGAATTGACTATTGATTTCAGAGATAATTGCATGCCCCGGAAACGTCGATTTCCTGATGTAACGCGCATCTCACGGTATTAGCGTGCTCTCATCAGGTCAAAAAATGCATCGAAAAATCAAATCGTTTCCACGAGAATAATTGTCGGGCGTCGATTACAAGGTATAGCAATGCTATTCGCGCACTGTGATGCATGGAAGCATCAGACCGTCGCAATTATCTCATGGGATACCGGTACCCGGTTTCCAACACGTATGTATTGGTAACTCGAGCGTTTCCTTGGCTATCTATTCTCGCCGTACATGGGAATCGCGTTTCATATGTGCGTAGCATAAAGTGTACTTGGGATAAAGCAGGGGTGAAGTAGGGAAAAAAGTTTACACTTGAGAAAAACTCGTCGGGAAGAAAAGTCGTAAAAACTGAAGATGACTTGCTCGACTCGTGGTACTCTTAATTATCATTACCTGCATCCACAATCTTCTTGAGGTAAATTTTCTTGCTCTAATCGTTCATTCGTATTCTTGTCAATCTTTTTCGTATGCAGAAACAAACACGTAACTAATAAGAAAAGTATTCCAAATAGTTGGAATACTTTTCTTGTTATTTATTATAATTATATATTTGTTTCTGTGAAGATAATTTTTTAACTGCGTACAGAATGTCTTACAAGCTTGGAAAATAAATATAAGTAGGAAAAAATTAATTATAATAAAAAATAAATACAAAATCTTAAAGTAAGATCCCCATTTCTTATTTTAATATACAGATTGTTTAACAAATTTACACCTGGTTTTTTCATTCGTAAAGAAATGATAAAAGATAGTAACAATTCCTGAATTATAAACAATTAAAATATTGCAGTTCTTTGCAAATTTAATTTTTACAGAGATAAACAGAATTTATCTTAATATAAAATTTTAATCTCATCATTAATGTTATAAAGAAAGACAACTTCTGATCAAATCTTTGCTAAGAAAATGTTATAAAAATTTGAAAATAAATTTGATTAGACTCCTCCTACCTACATTTTCTGTATTCACTTTTGAGGATAGCCTATATAAGATAGCATCGATATCGGTAAAATCACTCACTTTTGAATGTAAAATGAAGTCGCTCACAATAACAGATGCGACAGTAGCAAGAAAGACTCGAAAGGTGAAGGTACCCTGCATAATGCAACGAAAGGAAAGAAACGAGCCGCATATTCAGCCGCATCGTTGCAGACGGGATTGCAACTACCGCTGCGTAGAACTAGGAGGAGGCGGAGAACTCTCCGAGTTCTGTTTGCCTGCAAATTGGCCCTCGTGGTCGTGGTCGATCTATTTTCTCCAGCCCTTCTCCTCTTCCCTCCTACCCTTGTCCACGAAAACAATAGATCTGTTCTTGCTAGCATGAGTGGATCTATAGGAAAGCTAATAAAATTCAAGGTCGACTATTGAATATCGTAGAATAATTTTGTTCAACAACGTCGAGAAGTTGCGCAAGAATAAAGAATTATTTTCAAGATCTTTAATCTTAAATTGTAGAACGTATCTGAAAGTATGAATAAACAATTACAATTTGAAATAGACCGATGCAAATAAGAGTCTAAAAATTAACTGAGAGAAATCATATATTTTTCGGTCAAAGTGAATCTTATTGTAATGCTTAAATATTTCTGTGTGAATTTATAGGACTTCTCTCATTTAATTAGATTTATTCTTATCGATTCTATTTCAAATTGTATTTCTTTATACACACATTTCCTTAAAAGAACGACGTTTCTTTACTAGTTATTGGTTATTGCGACAAATATTGTCGAAACCTCGGTAATCGAATGATGAAAACGTATGCACAGAATACGGGAGATCCAGGTTCGAATCTGACTGAAGCAATAAATTATTCGCAGATTAACATGTTCATTAACGTTAGATTATTAATAAAGATGCTTACTAACATTAAAAAATTATTAAATTGCTTGTCAATTTAATAAGTTATATTTCTACTTTAGTCCTCTTTATGATTTGAATTTCAAGACCGAAAAAGATTCACATTACGATCTTAAAAGATACTGTATTTAATATTGTCAATAAAAAAATTATATTAAGCTGTCATTGCAAAAATATATGTATTAATTAATTAAGCAAATAATAGCGTATCAAAAATCAATTCAGTCCAAATAAATTCCTATAATACATTCATTTCTTGTGGAAAAAAGGTATGCAGTGTAAAAGGTGCGATACCGTAACGTGAGATGATACGTAAGAAGAGGCGGTGCTCAGCCTGCTATTCGCAACCATTAAAACATAAGAGTTTTATTAAAGCAGGTTAAACATGGGAGTAATAATACTGCGCCTTGCTCATACACTTAACACGTAGGTATGTTTAAAGTAAAATATTTACTTCCCGCTAGAAAATGAACTCAGGTGATAATTCAGATAGGGACTCTATGGCCCGGAATGCATTCCTCTTTAACACGACTCGCATATTCAACGGATGACACGTCGACGACGCGACGCACCGGTTGACGTATCAGAGTCCAACGACCCACGAGGTCATGTAAGAATTATGATTCTACATGCGTATAAACGAACGTAGTCCTGCCGGAAGACCGACGGGTTTCTAACTACGGAACCTGTAGTTGATAAGCAAGGATTTTTGACAAATTCAATCGCTTAGAAAGCCTCATAGTTCGTATCTAAACATTAATAGAATTTTAATGTCATAGTTGACATTAATGGAATTTTAATTTATCTAGAATAAAAAATATTGAACTCATTGAAGAATATAGAATTATTGGTACTTAAAGAAGATTTCAACGCGTCTATTTATTACGCAGGATGTGCATAAATAACAAGAGTTTACAAGGGTTTGACATCCTGTATACGTGCATTTACACTAATGGATCAGCACAAAAATGGTAATAACAAGTTGTTTAAGCTCTCGCTCATCGTGAGCGAGTGAGAAAATTGTTACGAGAAGGGAACATGACATCGTATAGTAAACAAATTGAAGGATCGATCACACATGATAATTATATCCATGAAAAAAAACGTGCAAATATTATACTACAACTTACTTGATTAATCGAGAAGCAGCTATCCAAAATATTACCTTATAATGATGTCACAGAATGATGTCAGTAAATGTCATTTAACCCGTCAAAGAACCACAGACTTCTATATACTACATTATATAGATTGCTAAATCTGTCTGTTTAACTATTGCAAAAAATTTGCCAAAAATATATGCATGCTCAAAATAAGACCCATGCCAGTCTACGCATCCAATCAACAGATATACGATAGATATACGATAGATATACGATATCTTGAACCAATCACAGAGAGACATATGATATCTTGAATCAACATCACATGACCTATTGGTATCCTTTTTCTATATGTACGGTCACGTGATCTGCGCATCTAATTCACTCTCCAGAGCATACTAATCTAATATTCTAATTGATTTATATTTTAGGATCTAACGGATTATGTCAATCAGATGAAAGAGCTCATTGAATGCTCAATGAGCGATTGTCGTTCTAAATGCAAAGTGACTTGTATTTGTACAGAATGCAGTGCATAAATTTTAAAGACAAAAATTATATAAAATAAAGAATAATTGATCGATCGTAAGTCTTAAATTTCTAGAATATCATCGAATGACTTAAAGAAATGTTTTATCGTTCTACACCCAACTTGTCTCTTCCGACAATTTCATATTTCCAAAATTGAAAAATTGCAGTTAAAAGACTAAAGATTCGACAGAAATTCAAGCTATAACGGATGTGACTTACTAATTGAAGATGATTACAAAGAAGGAGTACTTAACTGTGATCCCAAGTAGTACACTTGGCGCCTGCAAAGCGCTAATAAAGCACTTATATGCATTTTTTTAGCGCTTTGTTAACGCTGTGTTGGCGCTGTGTGCTACTTGAGATACAAAGATTGAAAACGAGAGAAAAACGATATTCGAAATATATTAATTGTAAAAATCCTATTTTGAATAAAAAAATAATTAAAATATTTTTATGAAATGTTTTTATTAATTTATATAATTTTTGTCTCAAAATCTTATAGATCACATTCTATACATTGAAGATATTTAAGAAGTAACACATTGCTCAAAGAAAAAATTTTACTTAGTTTTCGAACAAAATAAAGGCCTTTTTTCTAATATGTCATAATTTAATCATGATATTTATTAATTCGAACTTTATGACAGGAAACATCATATGTGGAATTACGAGAAGTGAAATGAGATATTTATAAAATGGTACAACTTGCATTGATACGCGATACAGAGTGAGTTATTTTAAGTGCATTAATTTTTCTCGAAAACCAAAACATATCGAAAAATAGTTTTGCACAAAAGTTTTATGCAACAAATAGGAAATAAAGCTCATAACGGTCGAAATTGGATCTTTAATACTTAAATAATTCAGTGTAAAAAAATCTATATACTATATATCAAATCCTGCCAAATTGCGCGCAGAATTGGTTTTTCGAACTTGAAATCGACAGAACTACTGTTACTATCACAAATTAAATTGTCTGGCAATTTAATAATTTGATGCTCATAGGCATCTTAGAAAGATCTTAATGATGCTGATAAACATATGAAAATCTGTAAATAATTTAAACAAAAGTTTTATGACTTTAAAGATGACAAAAAATGGTGCCATTGGTTTCATTAATACGAGTATATTATTCATATCAACATTGCTTACATCTATAACTTAAGTCTAACAATAAGTAAGTATTACGACAATTCTTGTGCTTAGACCATAACACATTAGGCTATCTTGATGTCCTGCAGAATCCACACAATGTAATTGTGGCGTCATGTTACATGTAAGATACACTATTGCGTTAAAAATATGCTGAGCGAAGCATACTTCATATGTCAAGTAAAGCTCTCAAATAGAGCGTGCGAGCAAAACGTTTCGGCGCTCACTTTCGTTTGCAGCGAGGGGGAGAACAACCTAGCAACCCTAATAAATACTAAATCCAGGAGACATTCGTGGAGACAATACGAACTCACCAGACAATTCATCATCGTGCACAGAATAAGAATCGTCACACGACTTCCGTGCATTATTTCCGCTTTGCTGATCACGTAGCTTCGCCAGATCGAATCGATTCTCCGCTTCACCTGCGGCGTACGCATATATATCATCGCCGATAACGAGCGCGATCGTTAGCTTTGTGCACGGAAGGGTGATTGCGTGACAGCGGTACGAAGAAGATGTGAACAAGCGTGCACTAGCGGCAGTCTTCTCCGCGACGTATCGCGTTTACGCGTGCGTGAGGATAACTGAAACGAGACTGAACGGACCCCCGTCGGTCTGACTTTTGGCGCGGGAGCAACAGGAGGAACGGAAAAGCAGCCAAGATGGGGCCGCCGGTCCTCCCACCTTCTCTTCGTCAGGGTCTTGGACTCTCAGTCTTCCGAGTTTCCTCCTTCTCCTCGTCTTCTTCTTCTTCTTCTTCGTATCGTTTCTTCAATCGAACGGAAAAGCGAAAACGCTTCGGTCCTGGCATTGATATTTTAAACTAAAATATGTTTTAATCAATTTGTATAAACAACCAATAGGAAGGAAAAAGCCTTTAATGGTCGAAGCTGGATCTTAAGTGCTTAAATAATTTGATACTACGTATCCTAGATAATATTTATGTTGCATAAGATATCTAAAACGTCTTTTAGATATCTTATGTCTAAAAGACGTCTTTTTTTAGATATCTTATGCAACATGCATGTTATCTGGGATGTCATCATGAAAATTGCGCGCTGAATTGATTTTTCGGACTTTTTAAAATGCAATCTCGACAGAATTATAATAATAATAATTTGGTACTCATTGGCATTTTGGGGGGAGTTGGGGGTGGACCTCGCTTTCGCATGGAAAGTCGCGCGCCCCTAAGTAAGGGGGAAGAAAGGTGGACCTCATTTTGTGTGAAAAGTCGTTTGCCCTTAGGCAGAGGGAGAAGTGGGATGGACCTCGCTTTACATGAAAAGTCGTTTGCCCTTAGGCAGAGGAAGAAGTGGGATGGACCTCGCTTCATGGGGAAAATCACGTGGAAAAAAAAACTTTTTAATGGATAATGAGGGATGACTAAAACCTGTTGGAGGTCAACAATATATGTCAAGGCCATTGAAATCGGCGAGGTCGCCAATTTTCTAAAATTTTACCGAAACATTTTTTAATCATATATTTTTCGTGTGTATTATATAAAATATAATGTTACTACTTATTTTAACAAAAAACTGGATTAATTAATTTTAGAATTTTTTAAGTATACATTTTAATGTTGCTGCAATATTTCAAAGATGGACATTTTATCGTTTTCTGCAATGTTACAATCTTGCAAAGAAAGATTTCCGCAACATTACCGTAATCTTTCGGTACTGTATGTGCGGTACTATAATAATTGAACCTATTAATTTCTCCTACAAAAAATTTTCGTGCGGTATTATTTACCACCTGATTCACGTTTATCTCACACAATCCTTCTCTTCGATTAATCTTCAGTTTTAGCTCCTCAAACCTTAGAATGTACATATATCTATGTACTACACACAATATCACCGAAATCGGGCTAATTCACAGTCAATCGCCGTGATGCATACATAACGTAGCTTTGACAGACATAGCAGTTTGCGGTATTCTACACGGCTGTAAACACCGTTACGATTTCAAACAAATGTTATTCTTCGGTGGCCGGCTGGTCAGTGGCCAGTCAGTCGCAGCCGGCGATTCTGAGTTACTCCATGTTCGCAATCGGATAACTTTGTAGGATTGCGAGATACGCACTCTTAATGCGAATCATTAACACGTACGATATGTTGCGTTATGATATGATACGGTGCACGCGTCTTACAATATAGCGGCTGACCTGCTCTCAATAAGCGCTAATGGGAAATATTTTTCTTCGCTCATGGTTTTAATGCGTTGTACCGCTTACTTTATCTTTCTTGATTTTTTTTCTCTTTCAGATTTTTCAGATTTCTGAATATCTTTTTTTTTGCATACGTGTATATATATATATATATATCATATGATGTTATCAGGAGTGGACATATAATCTTCCATTAATATTTCGAGAATATCATGTGATATTATATAATTTTAGCAAAATATTATTAAAATGTTATATTTAATATTCTAAGAATATACCTAAAATATTACTTTATATTAAATATTATAATATTATGCGCTTATAGGGATAATCAGAAATCGGATACATCGGAATACACGATTTCTGATAAATTGAAAATTATTCCTTATTCCTAATTCTTTATTCCTGTTATTGTGCGCAGCCCCTAAGTATACATAAAATATATGCGTATTATCCTTATATTTACAGTTTGAGAATAGTAGCTGGACTCACGCTTAACATCAATTTTCAATTTAAATGATGAGATTCATATGATATTTGCACCACATCAATTCTTCGACGCTATGACTTTGGGTGCGGTCGAGTTGCCACTACGAATGCTCTTCGAAGAATTTCAGGTACGGTCATTTAAGCATTTCGAAACACTTCAATAGCATCAATTACGTCATCGAAACGTCACAGATTTCCCCTCTATTTCGCTTCCAATGCTACAGCCGTGAGCCGAAGAGGTAGTACGGCTGAAGCGTTTTTTGAATCTTCGCAAAACGCGGGAAATGTGTATGGTTACTTGATTAGGTAAGAACTATCTACTGCGAATCAATCGTGTGATCGTGGATTGTGTGACTTATAAAGTGTTGAAAAACATCAAAAATATCCGATCTAACATTATACGACGACCGTTCGGGGAATAATTTTCAATATTATAAATACATTTTCTTTTTTTTCATATTCGGAGGTTATTATCATGTCCATTATATCGTCATCATCGTACAGATATTTTGTACATTCTAAATTTTGTGCAATATATATTGCTATAATATCATTCATTTTTATGAACTTTTGTTCCCACTTTCATAAAAATTTATGTAAATTTTTTTCTAGGTTGCCTCGAAAATAAATGCTAATGCTTGGATACACTTCAGAACGCGTTAGACCGATCAACTTAACTAGTTGATAACATTTGTAGCGCTACTTGACCGTTCCATAGAAACATTGAAAATGAAAACGTTTGAAGCATTTGAAAGTGGTAACTCGACCGTACCCTTTATCAACAATGTTGATAATGTGATACGGAATCATTTTATAAAATTGATGATGTCGCTAGTGTAAGGAAGCTCCCAAGCGTCATAAAAACAAGAGTGGGTCGGAAAACTATACAGGGTAAATTTAAGAAGAAAAACAAAAAGACCGGAATGGCCGCTCTTAAGTCTCTCTCTCTATGTCTACATTCGTTTACGCAGCGGTTAGCGCAGAGAGTATCATTTAATCCTTGTTTAACATTTGGTGAACAACAAGGCTAAAATAATACTTCTACGCTAACCGCTGCGTAAACGAATGCACCATATAGCTTACTCAATACTCAATACGTTCGGAAACATCATCCAAGTCTTCTCCCCGTGTTTTATCCTTGTTGTTTAACTAATGTTATACAAGGATGAGATAATCACTGTACTGAGTCGCTTGTTAGAAGGCACTCACGGATATTGACAAAGTAACTTTCTATTAAATTATCTTAATTTCAGCAATGTATTTAAAGAATGATGTACTAAACTAGTACAATATGATTAATTAAATAACTCATCACATATATATGTTTACATTAAATTAATAATAAAAAATTAATAAAAATAATTAATCATATTATACCAATTTAGTAAATCATTTTTTTAATACATTGTTGAAATTAAGACAATTTAATAGAAAAATTACTACGAGTTTCAAACGCTCGGTGTAAAAGGAGTCAATAGGCCTATTCTTTTTGGCTGAACTTTTGCATCAGTTCATCTTTCTTCCTCTTCTTTCCTTCTGGAGAGAAGACAGGCCTAATGGATGCATTCAGTACCACGATCACTCACTGAGCGCTCAGTGAGCTCTTGTATCTGTTTGGTCTATATTTTTAGTTCTAACGGAATATACCAATAAGATGCAAGCGCTCACTTAGCGCTCAGTGAGCGGTGTAGTACTGGGTGCGTTCAGCAGAACGTTTGTTTTGCAACTGTTGTAAGGCCGGAATCAGACTATGCATTGAAGATTAAGATTGAAGATTGAAAAATTCAAATTTGACCAATCGAAATGAAAGGAGCTAAAATTTCTTTGTCCTTATTGGTCAAATTTCAATCTTCGATCTTCAACCTCAATCTTCAATGCGTAGTCTGATTCCGGCCTAAGTTTCCTTCGCGCTAATTGGATCATACTTTTAGATCTATTCAGCAGACCCAACAGTTTTGCAACCGTTTTATGATTGTCTGCTGAGATAGGACCATTCTTCTAGATCTAAAAGTATGATCCAATTAGCGCGAAGGAAACTTACAACAGTTGCAAAACAACCGTTCTGCTGAACGCAGCCAATGTTAAACAAGGATAAGATGATACACGGGGTACTCAGGTGATATTTCCGAACGCAGCCCTGCAATGCCTGCAATGACGCTGTAAATGTGGCAGTTTCTAAAGGCTTGTGTCCACAATCACCACAATGCTAGAAATCGGTCCGAGGCGATTCGAGATCTCGAACCGATTTCTAACATCGTGGACACAAAGCTTAAGCTTCATAGTTCTTAGCAAACATAAGTAAACATCATGGTGTCTGTTCTTTGTGGCTGAACTGGGCTAAACTGAGCTGAACTGGGCTGAATTAATGCACTTTTGGAACTTAAAGTGAGACAGGTATATGTTTAATATTTGATGAAAAAAAAGAGAATTCTAGTGCAGTTTAGTGCAGGAATAAAAAGCAGATCTAAATGGTATGGGTTATTTATCAAGTGTGAGAAGTGATCATAAACGCTTTCTTTTTAGTTTTTAACCTGCCTGCATGTAAGTAAATCCTGTATGTTATAGTTTTCCCTCGCATACATCTTGTAACGATTTGTAATTTTTCTCCACTACAATTATGCAGTTCGAGCTTGTTCAATCTTTCGAAGACTAAAAAAATTTTTATAAGGCAGCCTTACTTTGCCAAAGTTCACCACAAACAACGAGTTGCATCATTGCTACATTTTTGAAAAGTATGATCGGCTTTAAATGCGCATTTGATTTTACGTTACTCACGAATCTATTTTCACTAAAGTTTTTACATTACTCTTTAACAGGTTTGGCAAGTAACGCATTACTTTGTTGATCATTGTTGTAATAACGACTTGGTAATGACAATGTAAATTTTTTATGACGGTAATGGTGACATCAGAATTAAAAAAGTCAATCATTATTTATAACAGATTGAAAAAGTCATTCGTTATTGAAAAAAATAACTTCTAATTTTTAACGCGTTACTTATTGATTTTTTTTCAATAAGTAACGCTTATTGGCGACGAGTCACTTTTCGAAGTGACTCTTCTAACTTAAGTGCAATCTTAGCATTTAGTTAGAGTTAGCGCTACCGTCATAAAAAAATTGCAACATCGTCATCAAATCATTTATTATAAAAAGTAACAGCAAAGTAACATTTGCCAATCTGCTCTTTAATTAGTTTTTGTTACTTGCTGCATAGGGCAGCTATTTCAATTCTGGCCATATCGACTCTGTGATAGGAGTCGGGGCCCTTCTCTTGCTAAAAAGAAGAATCTTACTTTGCCTTAAACTTAAAGGTTAGAGTTTAAGAGAGAGATTGACAAAAGACATCCCGCCTATAAAAATTAAAAATGGATTTTGCAGACAATATTTCAGAAGTGCTTACAGTTCTATAGTAATATGTTACAAATAAAGTTTTATATGTTGATAAAATATCAACGCATGGAACTTTATTTATATTTATGTCGTTCTTTTTCTAATAGATTAATCTGCACAGTAGGTTAATTTATACTTGTTCAATTCTTTACAAAAACTTACACAACTCAGATGACTTTGACTTTGACATATGTTGTCGAGGTCGTGATCCTGAAGTTAAAGTCATCCGAACTGTGTAAGTTTTTGTAATGAATTATCCAATTATCTATTTACAACAAAGAATTAGAACAAATTTTTAAGTAAAAATATTTTACAGAAAATGTCTTGGCTCTTTGGCAAAAAGAAGCACAAGGATTCACCTCCTGAAAGGGATGAGCAAGAGGAACGACCTTCCACAGATCTAGGGGATGAATTTATAATAATTGAAAAAAGAAGGACCTCCTTGCCACCTAATGTTGGTGACCACAATACTCCTTATCCTAATAGATTGTACCCATTTATCGATGGAACTGCAATGAACCCTACAATATCAGCTGGTAATTTACCAAAACTGACTCAACAACTTGATGCTTCACATTATCTAAGTGATGTACCATTTAAGTTATGCAAACAGTTACAAAGTAACATGAATAGTGATTTGGAGATAGACAGTCTACGAATTAGCGAAATAATGTCTTTCATTGAAAGATTAGAGAATCAGAATTACAATTATGATTTCTCTCTTGAAACTGGAGTTATTACAGAAATGGATAGCAGAACTACCGACTGACTCGAAACTCTTTCGAATCTTATTTTTACATACGTAATGAGAATGTAAATTCTACAAATCAAACTTATAGCCCATAGATTTGCACTGACTTGGGTTAATGATTGCATGCTCTTCTATTGGTAGAATATGTCAACCAATAATAGAGCATTATACCATCGAATCCAGGTATAAACAAACCTGCTCTGGTCGAAAACGCTATTAGATGTATACGTATGTATCTCAATTATATACACATGCAATAACATTTTAAAACAAATATCGCGTAGTATAATAATGCTATAGTATAGTGGTGTGCAACTTGTGGCCTACTTGTGGTCCTCTGATTCACAGCTAAAAATATAAAATCATATTTTCTATTTTATGCAAACGAAATAAACACGTTCTGAAACTGGCACTCTGAAAATATAGCAGTTAAATTTGATCTTTCTATTCTACACAGGCCATTTTTTTGAAAACGTTCCTATCTTTCATATAAGAACAAATAGAAACGTAACCTTTTAAATAGTTACAAAAATAATTAATACACAAATATTTAATTTTTAAGAAGAAAATTAGTTTCCAGATTTGAATTATAAAAAAAAGAACATTTAATTAAAATTTATTTTTTATATATTTTATATTCAAGTTGCACTTAAGGAAAAGTGTTATTGCCATTATTGTTACAATACTACACATGTAATAAGCTTATATTTAATTTTACATGTTTTATTAAAAAGAAATGCTCTAAAAACAAAACAGTTGTATTGACTATATAGTTGCATATAAAAGAAAATGTAAAATAAAAATTAATTTTTTAAGCATACATAATGTAATAAAAAGCCATATATCTTAGATTTAATTTTACTACATAACGCTTATATAGTTAATGTGTATGTGTATTTTAAGTTGTAAAAATTAAATAAATTATATTTACATGTGACAAATGTAGGTAGATGTTGTATTTACTAATAGAACATGGCATGGTTCCCTTCAAAAGTTTTCTGGATATATGAAATTCTTTATAACTAATATCTGTACCTGAAGCTGCAATACAAAAAACTGCTATTTCAGAAAAGCTATATTTATATATAAAAATGTTTTTACTCTTGTCAAATTCTTGTAGGATATTTAGAGAAAGAGAGAAGATTATATATTTTAAATATACAACACATATATATATATATATGAGCTATAGCTCCTTTGATAAAAGTGACAAGTAAAAAATTTGTCTAGAGATTGATGTCTAAAGAGCAGAATTTTAAAAAATTCTGACAATCTTAAATATGTATAATTGAAAGTATGGTAACATGGAAAGTGAAGTTATGCATTATCTTAATTAAAACTTTTTAATTTAGAATTTAAAAAATGCTATACTGAAAAGTTCTTAATTTTAAGATGTATCACTTCTATCAAAGCAGCGATATGTATGTAATAAATATATACATAGATTTAAATTAATATACACATAAACTTAACACCAGTACAATTGTAACAAATATGCAGAAAGGTAACCAGGTCTTAAGAAAACCCAGAATACTGAAATAAACATAATAAATAATTATTAATAATAGAGATTACATATACAATTTCTTTTTATATATATATATATTTTGTTTTTACCTGACGTATTTTCCATGAAGCAACATAAGTAGTGCAAGTTTTACCATGTTCCAACTGTTTGAGTCACCATACGACATCAAATTCAAGGCTCTTGCCACATGTGAGTGGCAATTATCACAGCATAAATTATGCTGTAAGAAAGTTAATTTTGTATTGCAAGTATAAGAGCTTTTTCTATCTTCTCATTTCGTTACCATTCTAGTTTTGTAAATTTCACTAGCTTCTGCCACACCAGCATCCCATCCTTGTATGCCTCCTTTGGCTTTGATATAATCAAGCTGCCAATATTTGGTAGGTTTACCAAATGCCATGTTGTCTTCGGAAACATAATAAGGACCAGCAAAATCCCTTATTACTCCTGTTGACGTCGCAATGCCCATGTGTCCAATAAAAGGTAGAATGTATCTTGATGAAAATCAAACAGATTATATTAACTATATAAACTCCATAACTTATTTAGGGTGACTAATCTTGACTTAAGTGAAAAATTCATATACTTCACAAATTATTTTCATATTTTACAATAAATGTTAATGTATAATAATAAATATATTATTAGTCTGACAAATATCAAATACCTAGAATCGAGGTTATGATGAGAACACATTTATAAAATGACTTACGTTAGGATGGGTAACGGAGTCCAAACGATGCAGAAAGGAAATCTTTGTCTTTCTGGGTGAACATTGAGATCCATCTCGGGCGAATCATTTGACAATTCAAGAATATCTGTCAATAAATCAGGATCTCTCATAATACACTAATGCAGCGCAGGATGCACTCCAAGCCCGAAACCCAGGGCCCTTCCACCCCTATTCGTCTATTCTTGAAAACTGTCGTATACCTAAAACTATAGGAATATTCCATTGGCCATGTTCGTATATTACTGCCAGTTGACTGCCAGTACTGAAAGTCTATAGTTCCTGTTACGTATACTATACTGTACTAACAACTGGCAGTAATATACGAACACGGTCAATATACGTTATAGGCTGCGATCCACTTGATGGCTGCATTCAGCAGAACGTTTGTTTTGCAACTGTTGGAAGTTTCCTTCGCGCTAATTGGATCATACTTTTAGATCTAGAAGAATGGTCCTATCTCAGCAGACAATTATAAAACGGTTGCAAAACTGTTGAGTCTGCTGAACGCAGCCGATGCTACAAACGAAACGCTTCGAAGCGTTTGAGTGACCAATCAAAACAAAGAATTTTACGAATTAACTAATCAAAGGCTACGTTTATCTGTTCGACTTACTTACACTTTTGACATTCAGCATCTTCGCTTTCTCTCTTTTCAGCGTCAAATATATATCTATCTCATTTTAAGTGTAAAAAGTGTAAAAAAGTGTAAGCAAGTCGAACAGAGCTAATGTGTAGATGAATTGGTTAGAAAACGTCAAAAATGCCCGGTTGCTGTATTGAGAATTGCAAAAACCGCAGCGAATAAGGCTTCCGTTTATGATTTTAATTAACTCATTTTTTTTCATTGTTTATATTTTATATTATATAAGAGTTCCTTTCTTTTATGTTTTTTAAAACAAATAAAAATTGCAAAGAAAATTAATATATCTAATTTACCATTTTACTTTATAAGAGGAGTTTATTGCCGGACGGCACCTAATACATAAAACTCCTCCTAATACATAATATATACTCATACATAAGTTTGAAATAACCGCGTCATGGAGCCAAAATGGCGACAGTTCGCGGTACTTTGTCAATCTAGTGACTTTATACAGGATAAACAAGGACATCTATTGTATAGGACGCGGCCTAAATGCATGGTGTAAATGTAGCTAAAGAATGCTTCGAAGCGTTGCAGCGTCAAGTGGACCGCAGCCATATATATTATAGCAGAGAGAAATCTGAGAGGACATGAGAGAGAGAGAGAGAGAGAGAGAGACGGCCAGAGCTTTTGCTTGTACCGCAAAATATACCACCCTTTGAACTACGCAACATCCACTTTTTTACGGCTGTGTTCCAAATTTACTGTCAGCGTTGAAAATGCTACAGTTTACGTTACGTGCACTATAAATTTTCAGTGCAGACAGTCAATTTCAGAACATAACTTACGTTGAGTCCAAAAGTGGCCATTGAACGACTGCGCATCCACAGGAATGGCCAGGAATAGCATATCGAAATATCTGTTATGGAACATGTCGGAATGAATTCCGATTGGAATTATTCCATTTTTCCTAAAAAATACAATAGAAATCTAGAGAGGGAATAATTAAATAATTCCGATCGGTTAACATCTCGGGGCAGCAGAGCGACGCTTATTTCTGCCAGATTCTCTCGTTTCATGCAGAACGGCGTCAAATGAATTATTTGTGTCATTCTAACTTCATCGTTTATTATTATTAAAACAAGAATAAAATGACACAAATAGCATCTTCCCGAATACATCTCTCTTATAGCGTTTTCGGCTCGGCCGGGTTTGCACCGATCTGGGTTGGATTAATGGCGTTTTGTGCTCTCCTATTGATAGAGCGTGTAACGTCAACCAACAAGAAAGATTAATCCAACCCAGGTTGGTGCAAACCCGATCGGGCCGAAAACGCTATTAGAATAGCAGCAAGCGCTCACTCAGGCACTTAACTGTTGAATTTGAACGCAATAATATATAATTGATGTAATAATATATTATATAAAGATACATATGTAATGTTTCGCATTTTATCGGTAAAACAACGATCTCGTTGAAATTCAGATTTCACTTCAGTATCATCCCCTTAAGCTCACAAATATGCTTACAGTAATTATTGAATTACATAGAAAGGTAATTTTAAAAAATCGAATAATAGTGTTGTACTATATTGTATCTGTATATTTCAGACTTGTAGAGACAATTTATTATAGCTTATAGACATTTGAATTTCTCAGCACAGTGACAAAGTAATCTACTTATATCACACTATTATGTGTAATTGAAAACTTACAGTGATAGATTACAGTCAAAAATCACGTAGCATAATAGTAATTGCAATTAGAATAAAAGCGCATCAAGTGAAATTGTTTACGTTTGTATCTTAAAAGGTATATCTACAGTGTATTCTATGGGAAGTCATTAAAACTAATTAGCTGTCATTTTTCAATGCATATTGGGGAAGAAAAATATTTTTTTTAAATAGAGGACATTTGTCTGTTTCATTTACATATGAAGACGAGCAGAAATATTTGCATTATTTAAATAAAAAGTTTACATAAAAGTTCATAAAAACATCAAATATATCATCAATCTCGTCAATCTTATTTTCAAAATGCTATTTCGAGAAATTAAAAATACTTTATTTTTTATCAAAAGAGATGTTGGTTTTTAAATTTCTGAAATATATATTGCTAAGAATTTAGCATGTCGAAAATATATATCGTTAAGATCGACATTTAATATTTTTATAAACATTTAAATGATACAAATGTTCCCGAATCTCTACTTTCTATGTAAATAAAACTGTCACGTGTCCTATGTTAAGAAATTATTTTTCCTATTCCTTGTGTTAAAAAATGATAACTGATTCGTTTTAACAACTCCCATAGGATACTTTGTATTAGACATTCCCATTTTTGGGAAGCATTCAGATTTTCACAAAGCTCTGATTTAATTGAGCAGTTTCAATAAATACAACGCTATGGAACATATTCTTCGAGAATGTCACTATGCTTTATGAATCAATGTACAATGTACATACACTCTGCCGTTCGTCATTATTCGTACATATAGTCTGCGTAAATTACTATATATATATATAGATCAAAAGAAAATTTTCGCCATTGTTTTTGATAATAAAAAAAAATCTATAAAATTTGTGTGCAACTTACAACAGATATATAAAATCTTTATAGATAATTATTCAGTTGCAAATAATTTCATAATTTTTTGTTAAAAAAGCTAACGATATTTGAAAGATATGAAAATTATATTTGATTAATTGAAGAGAAAAGAATTTCCTTTTATAAAAAATATGCGATAATAAAAAATCGCAGTATACATCATGATGTTTAATTCAACTTATAAATATTAAATTTCAAGCTGATTAAAATATACATTTTGTCACGACATAGTATAGATCAAGAAACAATAGCTTAGCAGAACTTCCATCGATTTCCACACTCATTGCACAACACGAAAGTAGTCATCGGTTCGTCGGCTGAACGCGTTTGCACCTGGTTATACGTGCAGTTGCACTTCTTGCATTTACCACATTTGAGCAAGTCGGTTTTGGTTCCTTGCACAGTGGCAAGTTGTGCATCATTGATGGCCTCTTTCTTGAATTGCTCACGTAGTTGCTTAATCTCGTCGCTTGCCATTTCTTCTGCCGTCATTACCGCTAACCTAGCAGGCGTGATCGCACCTACCAAAAAGTTCGTCCGGAGATTAGGATTCTTCACATCACGCAAATTGGCAACTCTGCTGCGCACCTGTATTCAAATATATAAAATTATAAATATACTAACGAAATTTGATATAAATTTACACTATACACACTGTTGGCCACCAAAAAAGACACGAGATGTTAAAATATTTATATGTGAAAAATTGTTTACGATATATGGAATATATGGAATTTAGAAGTACAACTTGGTATATTTCTTATAAATATAGCTTATTTTGATATTCCATTATCCATTTTATAAATTTCAGTTCAATATGAGTTTTTTCCATTGCTGCAATTTAATTAGGCAGCAGTGTACACATAAGAAAAAAAGTTTTAAACAAAGAGTTTCTACGACCATACATGTGAACATATAATAACAAAGGAAAGAAAGCCTTTAACGGTCGAAAAGCTGTGGATCTTAACTCTCAGTTACTACACCTCAGTCACGGTTACACAACTAACACTAATGCAAATTAGAATTTTCCATTCTTTTGTCTCGTGTAATTTTGAGACAAAAAAAGCAAAAATAGCTCAATTATATGGTTTCCTGGAGTAAAATTTTTCTAAAATTTCATTGGTAATAATAAAATTAAGTAAAAACATTTTTTGTAATAAGGGAAATTAAAAGTTTCACATCTCAGGGAGATTTGAAGGGAAAAGGTAGTACTTTTATTTTTTAAATGTTGCTTCGGTTAAAATATTAATTTAAATATTTTTAGGTCGTCTGAATTTGGTGGTATTTTTTTTTTGTTAAAACAATGAAGTTATACACATATGAAAAAATTATTATTAAAAAACATAAAAATGTTGACACGATACTGATACATAAATCTAAAAAAAGTAATGAAAACATGGTAAATACAGCCAAGTCAATGGCTGACTAAAAATTTTTAAACGTGACTTTTGAACAAAATTAATAAGAGTAAGTGTTTTTTGAGGTACTTTTGTAATATTCTAGCATGCATAACGCTTTTTTCTTTAAAAATACTTTTTAAAATAATTTTTCCATGTGTGCATACATTATGATTTCATTGTTTTTACAACAAAAAATACCACCAAATCAGACGACCCTAAAAACATTTGAAATTAATATTTGACCAAAGCAACATTTTTTTCATAAAAGTACTATCTTTTCCCTTTAAAATGAGATGTAGATCAAACTCTGACCTCTATTCCGCGCGAGTGTTCTAAACATTTAGACTACAGAGGCAAAAAAAGTTTTATATATGAAATAAAATATGTTTAATTAATTACCCTATTTTTGTATCTGTTATCAGTATTTTTAAATTCTGCATAGATTGCATCTTCCAATTCTTCTGCTAACTCTTCTGGACTGGCACAACCATCGATAACTTTCCCATCAACATGTAAAGCTGCCGCTAGTAGTTCTCTACATTTTAATCTGACTGCATCTGTTGTGGTAGGAGCAGGGAAGGACGACTGTTTCCTTTGAATATCTTTGAAAGGTTTTTCTTCCTTCACTTTTACATCGACATCCATAATATCTTTTTCTTTCTTATGATCACTCTCTTCCTTTGCTTTATCTGTCTTCTCATCCTTCTTTTTTGAACTACTTGACGACGTTGAGTCTTTCTCTTTATTTGATCCTAATACCAAATAAATTACAATAGAATTAAATTATACATATAAAATTATTAATGATATTTATATGAAAATTAATTACATTTAAGTATCATTATATACATACCAGATAAAAACTTTTTCCAGTTCTTAATAAGAGTCTTCGATAAAGAAATAACTTCCTCATCCCTACTTGATTTTCTCAAGGCATTCACAGTCATTCCAATACGTGTCTTAGTCAAAAGCTCCAAGTCAACGGGTAATTTTTGAAGTATCTTAAGTAATTCCAAAGCCTGTTCTTGACCCTGATTGACCGAAATGTTAGATTTGTTTTTTATAACTGGTGTATACTTGTAAATAAAATAGATATACATTTGCAGTTTGACAAAAACAAGATAGAATATTTTAGTGCCATCAAGTACAACAACAAAGAATAGGCTTATTATAGTGTATTGTATATAAACATCAAGTATTTTTATTTTAGTATAACCTTAATATCAACATTGATATGTATCTACATCTTTTTTCAGAAATAATCATGGAAAACGAAAACAATCATATAATGAGACTATACTTTTAACGATTCAGTTTAATTAGAACAAAAATACATTTGCAAAAATAGTCTTGTAATAAAAAGTCTGAAAGAAAAGTAAATATTGAAAGATAATGAAAATTACACGATGTAAGAATCAAATTGAAGACTTTTAAGACTTGATTTTTAATTGAAATAGTATATAGAATGAGTAAGGGCGATATTTATTGTCAAATCTTATATTCAAGACCGTCTTAAGTAGAGTCTTAAAAAGTCACAAACCAATCACATTAGCGTCTTAAGACATTACTTAAGACAGTCTTAAAATAAGAACTGTCTACAAATATTGGCCTAAGAGTCACTTTTACCAACTCGATTAACTTAATCGACCGATTAGTCTATTGGAATTGGCCAATCGCCATCTGTCGTCAAACAAAATGACAAATGCAATTAGTCAATTCTAATGGATTAATGTGATGAATTCGATCACTCGCACTATACACTGGATCAGTGCATATTAAAAGCTGCTTTATATAAAATATCTCAATGTAGTGATAATTTACAGTATAATCAACTTTGACAATAAAATAATACATATATATCTTGTTAAATAACGTGACTATATCATTAGTAGATAGTTAATCGTTTAAAATATTTATATACTTTTACATTTAACTTTGTTAACTTTATATAAAGCAGCTTTTAATATACACTGATCTAGTGTAGTGCAAGTGACCGAATTCGCTATAGGTTAATCAGAGTTGGAAAAAGTGGCCCTAAGATGCCATACAACAGTGTTCCATGGATAAACAATCGGGGCCTCCATGATATTGTGGCGATCACAGGTTTGTTCTTTTTAGCTAAAGTTTTTGCACGATTCATCTTTCTTCCTTTTCTCTCCTCGTTGGAGAGAAAAGATAAACCGTGCAAGAAGTTCAGCTAAAAAGAACAGGTCCCATGTTTCGCGGCTTTTCGCGCATATCAAAATCGTATGCTCCAAATCACTGAAAGATGAAGCGCGCTTTCCTAGCGTTAAAAGACTCTTCTTAACGCACGCGCGCATCTCAACCAGTATACTGCGATCTTTATTTTACTCACTTATTACTCACCATCCCGTCACCACTCGACATTTTGTTGAGCTTTTTCTGGATACGCAACACTTCTTCCTCGGCGCTCATCGTCGTGGATCAAACGCACGGTTTGCTGCACAAAGACGGTTATAAATAGTAAAGCGTGAATGCGAACGCAATCTTAGCCACACTCACGGCCGTGCCAACCGCGTCTCGCGATTGTTGTTAACCTGCGTCCTGCGACACGAGGCGCCCCGCGCCCGTAGAGACCCTATAAAATATAGAGTCACGAAGGGGCCGACCTCGTGATTGGTCAGATTTCGAGTCCCTTTAAACGCCGCCATTTGTGGGTACTTTCGATGTGGTATTGAATCTGTGAATAGTGTGAGCAACTGTTTCGTGAGTGTAGTACAAAAAGGCGCGAACGCGAAATCGGACTATCAACTGTCAACCACGGTGAAATTATAAATAGTATTTGTTGCTATGCAGAGTACGGACATGTATCAAGTAAAACGATATTGCATTTTGTCCAAATTCTAAATTTCTTTTACCAATTTACTTATAACGTGTTTTTGAATAAAATGTAGGAATTAGAATTTTTATTGAGACTTTTGTAAATGTTTTATATACCTTTAAATATCAAAATTTAATACAATTTATTTTTTAAAAAAGTAATAAAAGTTTATATACATTTGTTACTTTGTCATCCATACATTTAAAAAAAAAATTTAATTCCAACAAAAATTTATTATGATTATAGAGAATAATTAGAAATTTTTTTTACTTTGGTTCCATCGAACTGAATGCGCATGCAACTTTTTCACTTTAAGTACTCATTTTCATTTTTTTATATTGGTGACGTTACGCGCTCTACCAATAGGAGAGCACAAAACGCCATTAATTCAACCCAGATTGGTGCAAATCCAGCTGGGCCGAAAACGCTATTAGGTAAGTAGCAAGATTATCCAATCACGTGCGCGGATTGCCAGATTTACCTAATAAGTAAATTTTATCAAAAGATGGAACAATCGGCCCTATGTCTCCTAACCTAGATCTACAATAGAGTTCTAAGCCTTAAGGTAAGCCTTTTTCACAAGCTGCTTAAACAGGCGGTTTCAGCGACAAAAAAGATCACGTGGTCAAAATTGACGAATATCAATCGCCCCTTTTGATCATGTTATCCTTTTTATCGTTGAAACAGTCGGTTTGAACAGTTCGTGAAAATTTACTTTTAAGGCCTTAAGGCCAATATTACATGCGTCCGTTTTTTGTCGTACGACAAGCTTTTCGAACCCGTTGATTGGCTGCAGAACAAACAGGTTCTCGGATCCCTTTGTTCTGCAGCCAATTAACACGCTTGAAAAATTTGTCGTACGACAAATGTAATATTAGTCTAAGGGCGAGTTCACACCTTGACGGAAAAGCAGAAAGCGGAAAAGCAGCAGCCAATCAGAACTCACGCTTATATTCGACAATTTCGGCTTTTTGTATTACTTATTACCACCGCGAGTTGTGATTGGCCATTGCTTTTCCGCTTTCTGTTTTTCCGTCAAGGTGTGAACGCGCCCTAAGAAATAGACGAATCATATCGATTATTCTTCTCGAATTCGACTGTAATTGGTCAATTTCTTACGACTTAAGGCTTAAAACACCTATAGTAGATCCGGGGTAAAAGGAAAGCAGCCAAAGTAACGTTGATGTAACCAGGCTTTAATCAGCCGATTAGTCCATTGAAATTGACCAATCGTATTTTAATACCATATTTAATCCAATTGCACCGTAGGTCTGTTCGTGTTGTTTGTACTTTTTTCACTCATCATCTTCGCTTTTTCTCTTTTCAACGCCCAAATATATCTATAGGTCTGTTCGCGTTGCTTGCACTTTTGGCACTCGGCATCTTCGCTTTCTCGCTTTTCAAGGCCAAATATATATCTATCTCATTTTAAGTGCAAAAATATTTGGGGATTTCATGCAACGCGAACAGACCTTATTTCTAAGGGCCACTGTCACCAAGCTCAGTTAACTTAAGGCCGCAGCACAGACTCTTGCATAACGCATAACGCATAGTGTATAAGCGAATCAACTAATCAGAATCTTTCCTTTCCTTCCATTCCATGGAAAAGAAGAATTTTGATTGGTCGATTCCCTTATGCACTATGCATTATGCGTTATGCAAGAGTCTGTGCTGCGGCTATTAACTGGTCAGTTAGGGCCACTGTAACCAACCTCAGTTAACTTAACTGGCCAGTTAGTCCATCGGAATTAACCAATCGCATTTGTCATTTTGTTTGAAGCAACTTTGTTTGAAGCAATTTTGTTTAACTGAGCTTGGTGACAGTGGCCCTAATGCGTGGTCTACAATAGAAGTCGTAACAATCGTAGAGTCTTAAGCCGTAAAAAATTGATCAATCACAGTCGAATATGAGAAGAATAATTAACTGTGATTGGTCAATTTTCTACGACTTAAGACCCTACGACCGCTACGACTTCTATTGTAGACCTCGCATAATAAGTTCAAAAATTTTGGGGAATTTCGAGCAACGCAAACAGACCTATAGCTCTGTGTGGCCAATTATAGGGACTTTCGTGACGAAACAGCTGATCACTCTCGATCGCACTGTCGCTATTGTCCGATCGATGGCATCGTCCTCGCCCCTCGATAGCCATGATATTTGTTGGTACTCCTTGTCACTCTTGGTACTTGATAGTGATCAGTGATCATCAGTGAATTCATCACTATCATTAGTGATGGTTGTGAGAACGCAGTAAGGATTAGGCGATTTTCAACAGACATCGCCAACTGTGACATTCCAACAGGTTGTCAGCGATACTTGATTGACTAGCGGTAATTATTCCCCTGTCTGGTTTCATACCCGCGTGATTGTTGTCAGTTCCTCGAAGATATACATAGTATATCTTATCATCAGCAGCAACAGCACCTTGTGACTTGTGACATTTTACCATGATGTAGCAGACGCCTCTAATCGCTCTCAATCAGCTCCCCTCGCAAGTCTAATGATTTCGAATAAATTCAATAAATCTGATTTCACGTTTATCAGCTTGTCGCACCAACATGTCCTGTGATTTCACCTCAATTGATTTCACCTCATCAATTTTGCGTTTGACGCATCGCGTCAAGTAGTCGTAGTTTTTAAGTCTGTCATTGTATTGCGCGTTGGATATCAATTGTGTATTTCAGCTCGGAATATAATTTACTGCTGGAAATTATCTTTCCTGCTTTGGACATTGTTCTGATTGACAGCTCAGAGTTATGTGACACTGACAGTATTATATTTTTTTTTTAAACAATTGCTCTGACATTTAATTTTCCAAACCAACTCTTTCTCATTGAATGGTATATTTACTTTCTGGTTTGTGACAAAGTTATGTTTTGGTTAGTTTGGCTGACAGAAACATTAGCATTGAGCAATAAAATATACAAAGATTTTATTTATTGCATTATGATAATTATTTTCAGATTGTCTGCAAAGATGACCGCAGGAACCAGTTTAGTGGTGCCCATAGTGCTGTGGGGACGTATAGCACCAACCCATTGTATTTCTTGCGTCTACTTGTCTCGGGATCAAAAGACTTTGGTAACAGGATGTTATGATGGACAAATATGTCTGTGGCAAGTGGATCCAGAAACATTAAAGGTATATACAGAGTCAACAAGAAAGTTGCAGAAAGCTTAATTTTTTATTCATTATTAATTTGTTAAAATCATGGTTTTTAATATAGATGACTCCGAGATGCCTACTGGTTGGACATACTGCTCCGATAATGTGTCTCAGTCGAGCCAGCGTTGTAATGGAGCAAAATTTCATCGTCAGCAGCAGCGAGAGTGGAGAAATGTGCACTTGGGATCTAGTCGATGGAAAGTGTCGCGAGGCAGTGAAGCTTAACAGCGTTCATACACAAATGTTGCCCTATGTTTCTGCAGGTGGAGAGGATGTCAGACTGTTTTGCTCTGGGTAGAAATAATATTAATATATATGTTGCAATATTAATATCGCATTTATCAAGAATACACATATATTTACATCTTTTTTTTATTTCAGATATTATCCCGAAGTTTTAGTGATGGATCCGTTCAGTTTAGAAGTGCTGTTTACCCTGAGTTCCCGCGTCAATCCAGACTGGATTAGCGCCTTGCATGTTTTGCGGCCGGCCAAACGGAAAGGTCGGTTCTACGTGCATACAAGTTAGTTACACTCCATCACACCTACGCTTTATACCATCAACAGCTACCTTCTTCAATTTCACTGCCAACAGATACTGTATAAAGAGGAATTGCAATGTAGCTTGTATAATAAATTTGTCTTTAAAGTTTAGCGCGAGAATTTGGTTTGAATCTTTTATCTATTGCTATATCTAAAACTATTTTCTTTCTATTTCTAATAGTTTATATATAGTCAATACTCAATATTTTTTACATAAATAAAAATTCAGTAATGCGCGAAACAGTATCTCTTGGTGTTTCATTATTTTATAAACTTATGTGATCCTTTTTAAAATTTTAAAGAACTTTAAGTAGAGAACTGTGGATATACCAGCGGTAAAGTTTCTCCTTTTCGATTGTATCTTCGATTGATTTTTGTGTCTGATTTGAACGAAATTAAGTTGGATAATAATTCTTATAATGATTAATGATTATACTAGTATGATTTGAAAGCAACTAATGGTATTTGAGGCACTTGTACAAATGTTTCTTTTATACTTAGGATTTTATAATCTGCTATTTTATCATTCTTTTATTAAGCAATTAACCTCAAGAAGCTTTATGTTTTGGATATAAACAGGGATTGTCTTTTTCATCAATATGTCGAGCTATTATTTTTTGATGATCTATTACTCAATTTTACGCGCGCGAGTAAAGTCATTTATATTATATCTAGTTTGATAGTAGCAGTTTTATATATCTAATATTTTTGAATTGATCACTTAATAACAGTTACATTGTTGCAGCATGTTAATGAAACCGGACACATATGTCAGCGCTAATGCGTTGGCAGTCGAGGCTGTATCACTTCTTTCGTTTATTTTTTTTTTTTCTTAATCATGATTCACACATCTCTTTGCACATTATCAAACAATATAATCATTAGTCTATTAACTAACTCGTTTCATTTTTCTTCTTTTTATATTAACATAGTATCAATGAAACTATCCTGCTACTCATATATGAATGTCATCTATTTATGCACATTGCATTTCATTACACTTTCATAACACTTTCACCTGGTGTACTATGTTTCTA